TTCTATGTCTCAAAAACACGTAATTTCCACGACGCTTCTCCTTTATGCTGTCGGTGACCGACGTAGTTGGCGAGGACACGTAAAAACGCATTTGCCTCTCCACTGCGTCAGAGATTTCGCAGTCCGTACAACGCACTGGATGCGAAAGTCACAAGAATCGCCCAGTGTTTCAACCATGTTAAAATTACTTTTGGTAGGATGGGGATCAGCAAGTTCTTTTTTTGTTTATTTTACCTTGACCCATAGTTGGGTTTGGCACACAAATGGCTCAATATTAAAAGCAAATATGCCGATCCAGTTATCATATTAGGTTAGGGATTTCTACCCTATGTCCCAATTAGGTGCGTTACTATTCGATACTTAGAAGTTATCAGCCCAGGAGTGAATGGGATGCAAGACACAAAGATAGAAATATGAGCTCAGAAATTTTTATGCTTGCCTCACTCTGAGGGTTAAACTCACCCAAACACCGAATACCGATTGAATAATTTTGAACTTCGAGTGATCAGCACTGCAGTAATCCCATTTAAAACTGACGCAAGAAGACAGAGGCTATTGAGTTATCGTATTAATAAAATCTAGCGTGGGATTCGCACAGCAAGACTGCAGGGAGGTATGTTACACTCTTAAGGGCTGTGTCAAAGTGGAGCACGTACCTGAGTTGGGATGAGGTGACGGCGTGCGCTTTTGGTGAGTTAAAATTCAGATGCTTTTCTCACGTCAAAGGTGGGGCATCAGTGTCACGGCATCTTATACAATAATGACAGCGGAAGCCTGTTTGATGTGAGGCGTCTTGAAGTCAAAGACGCAACACAACAATGTACACGCAAACGCGTGCGCACGTGTGTGCATTGGCGGGTGCCTGGTCTGACTTGCACACGCCGGAGACGTACTTAACAGTTTATGGGAATCTCGAGGAATTAAACCCTCGTATGACCGGCATTTCGTGCCCTTTCGTAACTTCTATCGCATTCTTTCCTTTTCGCTTTGTTGTGGTGTCTTCAGAATGCATCGGCGACGCTATCCGCATTGCTGACATGGTCATTTGTTGCGAACAAATAACGTAATTATGCTTGAATATCACCTAATTCCTTTCCCATGCAACATTTAGTTTTTGTTTGCCCTGGATTTCTGATGCAGATGTGATCTTCTTAATGAATTGGATGAAAATGTTGCCTAACTAAATAACGATTTCCTTAATACTTAAACTTATTAAGTCACTCTTAAAACAATGGTTAATAAACTAAAGTGAACCTACTGAACGGATAAAAACTTTATCAAGTCTAATTCCGCTATAGTTTAAGGAGTTTTACGGCTACGCACACACATCCTACGTACAGTAGCGTAGTGTGATCCCTTGCCCACCATTTGTATAAACAGCCATATATCATCGGCTTGGATAGGGAGCTTTTCTGATGGTTACTAATGTGTGTGTGTATGTGGGTGACTTGCACCCTAAATCTACAAATGGCTGCATGTGGCGCAACAACCTTGACTGTCGTATATATCGTTGTTTCGTGGTGTAAATTTACTGCCAAACCACTATGCCCGACGTCGATGCAGCTAGTCTTAAAGGTTGTCATTTGATCCTATTCCGACTTAGTATTAGATCAGAAGGAGAGCGAGGAAGGAATGATCTTTCAGCAACCTGTATGAATGTGGTCAGACTAGGCACATTTATACGACGTACTGAATAACACGGCACCCCCTGAATGGTGAGTCAACCAAGCTACTGACCCAGTGGTCTGTGCATACACACGTTCACTCCATGTGTGTGTGTGCGTATGTTTGAATGAGTGAGTGCTTGCTTGCTTGTTTGCCTGCCTGACTGCCTGCTTGCCTGCCTGCGCATTTGTGATGATGTTGACCCGATTCTCATTCTCTCTCGCTAGCTCCGTCTCTCGGCGATTTCTCCATTTCCGGTGATTCATCACTCCATTCCTCCTCCCTCCCACACGCATACACGCACACACTGGGTTCTGCACCTCGCCTCAAACAAGCACTCCTGTGTAAACTGCATTCGTGAACACACGCAATTACAACCAAATTCTTCGCGTGTATTAAACTATCAACATTACATGAAGCCGGGTAAGTGTTTGATTGACCCCCTGCCTAATCGATTGTATCCGCTACTGGGGGGTCAACGGATCAAACGGTAACAGTATAAACTGTACGACCCATCGGTATGCCACAATTCATGCAGTGAGTTCCGTATTGAGAAATACCTCTTTGCGATCTCAAATAACAAGGGATTGGCAGCGAAAGGCTGGAATTTGGTGACAGCTGATTCTAGTGCAAAAGGACTACGATTTCGATGGCGTTGGAGCTTAAAACTCCCATCCTGTTCTGCACTTTATCTCACTTCACTCATACCACCACAAAGGTTCAATCTAAAAAAGGTCACTCATTTCCATTTTGCGTCCTTTACCATACATCGAAATTACCTCATCAGTGGAAAGCTACCCGAGTTAGCTAAGTTTCTGATTTGTCGAGTGACCTCAAAACTATCCAAGGTTTCATGGTACGCGCAAACTCACTGAACATTTGCAAATACTAATCCCATCACATTGTATTTTTAAAGTTAATCAAGGCTAAATCGAAACCCTAAATCGTGCATCTGGGACTCTTAAAATAAACAGAAACTAAACCGATTCTGCCCTCCCATGGCGTAAATTTGAAGCTTAGGATTTGTTGGAAAAAAGTATAGGGATTGCATAATCGATGTATTCTCAAGTCGAAAATACCCTTACTGACGGTAGGGATATACCAAGCAAGATAAAAGGGAGACTCTGACGTCCTTCGTGCGGAAAGGAAATTTCACATGCAGTTAGGAGAGGCATTAATTTGTTATGCAAGAACCCACACACACACACACACGCAGACACACATACAAACACAATCACCCAATCACTCTTAATCGCTCACTAACTTGATCATGAGCTAACCAAAGTATTTGTTTACCCAAAGGCCCTTTTTACTATTATCGGGTCGTCTTTTAGAATGGCAAGGCCTGACACAACTTCATAGGGAGAGTAATAGAATGACAAAGTCTCGATTGGCGTAAGTTGAAAACCACCGGGATGCAGTTTCGTCACCAGAAGTGCCAGTTGTCAGTACCTTAGATACAGATAATTGGAACACTCCCCGAGTCATTCCAGTTTCAATCCTGAGACGAGACATCAGGAAGGTATGAGCTGAAGGTCTCCCATTTTAGGGGTAACAAGAGATAATTAAATCACCACCGAGCCCAGTATAAGTCTCGCCATTTA